TATGTTTTCCCTCTCTTTTATTTCAATTTTTTTTTTCTTTTTTCTCAATATCATATTCTGCGTCTTTGTTCTCGATCGGGAGGGTTTTTTTTTTTTTTTTTTTTTTTTTTTATATTCCTATTCCTAGTCGAGGGAGAGAGAGCGAGAAAGAAAGAAAAATTGCGCACCTGCTAACTAAAAATTTTTTATTTTTATTTAAAGGAAAAGAATTCTTTTGTGTTGGGGCGAGAAAGAAAAAAAAAGGAAAAAATTAAAAAATACACACACGCGTACGTGTGTGCGTGCGTGCGTGCGTGTGTTTCATCAATGGGGAATTATTCGCTTTCGTAACACTAATGAAAAAATTTAATGCACACAAAGGGTTGATTACTTTCAAACGTTTTAAAATCGCCGCCTGCCGTAGCGTAATTATATAATTAAAGTGCAAGAATTTTTATTATTATTATTATTATCATCATTCGGAAAATGGAGGACGGACGGACGGGAAGGTGGCGTGAATCGCGGTAGTCGAAACGTAATATTAAACGTGCATTATGCGTGTAGTAGTAGCAGTAGTCAAACGCATACCAAAATTTCCCCAATTGTAATAATAATAATAATAATAATAATAATAATAATAATAAGGAAGACAAACTAATCTCTCAACATTAACCTAAATAAGGTAATTTAGTGCTAATGAGTTTCGAAACAATTCTCTCTCTCTCTCTCCCTTTTCTTATTAATAGAAATTATAATTTTTTTTTTTTTTTTGTATTCTTTTGTATTTGTTGTTGTTGTTGTTGTAGTACTGGTGGTATCGGCTAAATCCCTTAATTTTTTCGACCTTGTAAATTTTTTTTTGTAGGAAAAAATGTAAAAATTTGTGTTGTGCACACGTGTAACCTTGGGCTGTGCTTTAAGTGAAATTTCGTATTAAAATTTATTATTATTATTATTATTGTTACTAAATTTTATTTTGGGTAAATTTTTTTTTTGTGAAATGGCATTTCAATAATCATTTATCGCGCTTGAAAATTTTTTCAAACGTGAACGTGGATTTTCTTATAAGGTTCGAAGGCAGGAGGAGGGAGGTAGGGTAGGTGCGCGTGACTCGTTTTAAAAATAAAATTTTAATAAAAGAAATTATTATTTTTTTTTTTTGTTTGTTTGTTAATTGCATTGAATTTGTAGCTGAGAGTGAAAATAAGCGGAAAGCCGGTGGCACGGTGGATTGTGTGGTGGTGGTGGTGGTGGGGGGGGAATTCCAGGTGGAAACAAGAAAAGAAAAAAAAAATCGACCTTTAAATTGTTTAACATTCGAAAACATTTTGTTTACGCACATTTAAGACTGTGGTGGTTAATGACTTTTCCAAGGTTCAAACCTGTGTTAATTTTCTCAGGCCGTTTTTTCACTTGAAATTCTTATTATAATTGTGTTGGTTTTTTTTTTTTCTCTTTGGGAAAATTTATTTTTTGTTTCTCTCTCTCTCCCTCTCTCTCTCTTTTTTTCTTACGATATTGACGTGAGTAGAAACCTCCTTTGAAACTTACGTAGATCGTTAAATATTTCATGTTTTTTTTTTTTTTTTACGTTTAAATTATTATTAAAAATCCCTCGCCCTTTTACATGAAGCGGTAAAATTAAAAAAGAAAAAAAAATTAACTACGTTTTATTATTATTATTATTATAATTGTTTTAGTCTTAACCCGGGCAGGTGTTTTTCCCATTTTCATTGCTAAAATTTAAAAAAAAAAAAAAAAAAAAAAGGAAAAGAATTTAAAATAAAATTTAACGACGAACATATAAAATGACGCGTGTCATTTCCTGGCTGCTTTGAGTCTACCCCCGAAAAAAAAACTTATCAAATCCAAGGAAAAAAAAAAAAAAAAAAAATTATAAATAGAATACGGTCGGAATGTGCAAGAATCGATAATGAAATTTAAAAGTGTTCGATTAATCGATATCGGATTTTTTTTCTTTTTTTTTTTTTTTTATTACACGCGTAATTATTTCTTTTAATTTTTAAGGGTTTTGTTGTTGTTGTTGTTGTTTTACTGCGAAAAACTGAAAAGTAATAATAATAATATTAAGATAATTGAAAATCGATCGATTGATCGAATGAATGAATCGATGAAACGATTGTTTTGCCCGTGTTGTCAAATGAGAGAGAGAGACGTTGAATGTAGTATTCGAGCGTCTCCCAAGTTGAAACTTTTGAAATTGCATCCATTAAAACCCTTAAAAGTTAAAGGGTGTATCAAAGCGATTGTGTTTTACGATGGCAACGATCGTGTAATAGCGAAAAAAATCGGTAATTACGCGTTTCGAATTTGAATTTTTTCCGCCAAAAGAAAAGAAAAAAAAAATTAAAAATTGAAAGGATCGAAGGGGAGGGGAAAGTCAGGCCAGCGAAGGATAGAATGGGTAAAAACCCAAAATAGATATTAAAATGGTTGACCAAGATAAAAACCATTAACAGGCTCTGAATAGTTAGTTGTTGTTGTTGTTAGTAATTACCGCGGTCGAAATGGTTTCCTCACACAATTGCAATTTAAGTCTACTGTTTTATTGTTCAAGGTTGTCCACCAACATAAAGAAGTCATGTTGAACAATAATAATAACAACATAATGATTCATGTCCGATGTATGTATGTATGTATGTTCGCTTCACGACCGACCAACACGTCACGTCCTTCGTTTTTTTTTCTCTCTCTCTCTCGAAAGAATTAAATAGGAAAAGAAAAAAAATAGTAGTAATAATAATAATAATAATAAATTGAAAGAATGAAAAAAAAAAATAAAAAAAAAAAAATTTGCGAGATGTGAATCGTGCGAATGGAGATGATTGTGTGTGTTGCGAGAATTCTGGAAGGAAAGAAGGAAAGGGGAGGGGGAAAACAACGATTTTAATCCTTTTCATTTTTCATTGTTTTTTATTATTTGTCCCTGGAGAAGAGTGTGAGAGAAAGAAGTGGAAGAGGAGGAGGAGGAGGAGGAGAGGATTTGATTTCGGTGCTGGAGAGCAAGAGAGAGAAAAAGAAAACATTTTTTTATTTTTTATTTTTTTTGTTTTGTTTTGCTTTCATTTTGTGTCTTTTGTTTTTTTTTTTTTTTTTTGTGTTTGACCGCGCGCAGCCTTCAATTTCCAAAAGATAATAATCGTCTTAAAATAAAAAAAAAAAAAAAAAAAAAAAAAAAAAAAGGAAAAAAAGAAAACATTATTATCTGAGTTTAAATCGACATTGTACATTATTGACCTTCCTAATAAAACCGACTCGGTTTTTTAAATGGTTGTCATTCAAAATTTACTTGCCGGGAAAATCATAAAACTGATTCGTTATTATCATTATCATCATCATCATAGTCGTCGTCGTCGTCGTCGTCGTATTTATCTTTATGCGCCGTAAAAAAGAGAGAGAGAGAGAGAGAGAGAGAGAGAGAGAGAGAGAGAGAGAGAGAGAGAGAGAGAGAGAGAGAGAGAGAGAGAGAGAGAGAGAGAGAGAGAGAGAGAGAGAGAGAGAGAGAGAGAGAGAGAGAGAGAGAGAGAGAGAGAGAGAGAGAGAGAGAGAGAGAGAGAGAGAGAGAGAGAGAGAGAGAGAGAGAGAGAGAGAGAGAGAGAGAGAGAGAGATAAGGAAATATTAAATGAATAATGGCGAAACGAAATTAATTATAAAAAAAATAAAGGAGGAAGAAAGAAAGAAAGAAAGAAAACGGCAATTTTTAATCTTGCGTTTGTTGAATGTTAATTTTCACATGCGCGGAATTTTACTATTTCGATAAAATTCTAGAAAATTGGCACGAAACGCGAAAGACGTGCAGGTCAAGAATGACGTGTTAAAAAACAACAAAAACAACAACAACTAAAAATTCAATATTTATCTTATCACGTGGGCTTCATTAATGGTCTCTCTCTCTCTCTCTCTCTTTCGCTTTAAATATTTATTTACACCATTTAAATGATGAACAAAAAGAAAAAAAGAGATAGAGAGAGAGAGAGAGAAAAAAAAAATTGATTTTAACGCCATTACTAAATCATCGTTTTTATCATCATCATCATCATCGCCTTCGCCAATGATCAATATTTACTTTCACCTTTCGAGTAAGAAAATCTGACAAAATGATAGTAATAAAAATATGAAAATAATGATGATGATGATAATAATAATTGGTTAACGATCGACTGTAACGTTTCAACTGAGAGGAAAAAGGTGAAAATTATTACTTCACCGTGCGATTAAATTATTATTATTATTATTATTATTATTATTATTTTGCTTTTCTAAAATGTTTTTTTTTTGCTTGTTGAAGTATTATTATTATTATTATGATTATTATTAATATAATTAATGTTCGTATATGTAATAATAAAGAAAAAAATCAGGTCTGACCGAGTATTCAGGCTATGCGGAAATTCATGAAACGACGACGTTTTTTTTTTTTTTTTTTTTTTTTTTTTTACGACGGGTATCGAAAGAAATTAAAACAGGCGGAGGAGACGGTTGCTGGGGGGGGCGTGGCAAAATGGGGAGAAGGGGGGGGGCAGAAAAAAAAAATTAAAAAAAAAAAAAGAATTTTTTGCCAGTCATTAAAATGGAAATGATTCTGGAGCGAGGAAAAGTAGTAATAAACTTATTTTAGGCACGAAATAAATAGGCATACAAAGTTATTCTTGTTTTTATTTTTTATTTTATTTTTATTTTAGGAGAATATAAAATAAGGTCAAACGTAGGTTGAAGTAGAAGTCGCTCCTCCTATGACGTACAAGGTATAATAATAATAATAATAATGATGATGATGATGATGATAATAATACGATACCCACGAAATGAAAAAAAAAAAAAAAAAAAAAAAAATTAAAAAAAAAAAGAAAAAGAAAAAAAAAATTCAACGATAATTATTTTAAAATGCAAAGCACGGGGTTTTTTTTTTTTTTTTTTTTTTTAGTATACCTGAACCTGCCTGACCGTCTATTACATAGCCTGATATTCATAAATTTAAAAAGGAAAAAAAAGAGAAAAAATGACCGGAGGCCATACAAAGCATTGTATTATTCCAGTTTTTTTTTTTTTTTAAATAGTAATTTCCGAGTTGGTTTTAACTTCATCTTTTTATTATTATTATTATTATTATTATTATTATTATTATTATTATTATTATTATTATTATCATCCCTCCTCCCTTCTTTCAATTGTTTTTACACGATTTTTTTTTGTTGTAATTGTTCAACTTCTTGGAGCAATGATTTAGATGAGGTAGAAGAAGAAGAAAAAACTCGTTAATTATGACACCCGGATGTTTATATCTATATATTGTAGTTTCCTTCAGTCGATCGAAATTCTTATTTCCAGCATCGGTTGATGTGGCTCCAAAAAAAAAGAAGGAAAAACGGGAAAAAACGGGAAAAGTTGCTGCAGGGATGAATGTAGTAAAATTTGGAAAAAATGTTGTGAAACGGGAATGAGCTGCCTGACGATAATTATTTCGATTGTTCTCTCTCTCTCTCTCTCTTTTTTTTTTTTTCTATTCATTTTCGTTTGTGGAAAGCGGGAAAATCGATTTACCTGGAATTTTTCTTTATCTCCCTTTATTTCGCACGAAAGTTTTCATATAAAATTCTTGTAATAATGATAATAATAATAATAGTGAAATAATGAAAGAATAATTTTCGCGAATCGATTTTTTTTTCTATATTTCTCCCACCCCCCTCGTCGAGGGACGCAAGGGAGCATTCGGTTAAAATCAACAAAGAATGCGTCGTGATTAATGCCCTGCTTGCCCCATTTCTATTTTTCCCCATTTCTTTCCCAGTTTTCCCGCACTCTTCCTCCTCCTCCTCCTTCCATTCCTTTCGTCTTTTTTTCCCTCCTCCCTCCTCCTTGAAAAATAATACATTTAATCGATTTAAACTTCGTCGTCGGTTGGGATAATTCGCGCAGACGTTTTTATTTTGGTGAAAATTTATTTACTTTTTTTTTCTCTCTCTCTCTCTTCTTGCGACAAAGAAAATAAATAAAGAGTAATAAAAGTAAAAAAAGGTAGGGGAGAAAGAGAGAGAGAGAGAGATAGAAAGATTTAAAAGTAATAAAAAAAATAAAAAAATAAAGTAGAGGAAAAAGAAAAGAAAAAGAAGAGAAAGAAGAAGGAGAGAAAAAATTAAATAAATAATAACTTGCCAATGAAATTTTCCATTCGAAAACTTTTCTTTTGAGATAATTTCGAAAGTTTTCCAGAGATGGGGAAGGGGAAGGGAAAAGGGAAAGAGAAATGAGAGGAAAGTAAAAGAGAGAATAAGGTTATGGAGAAAAAGGTATATAATTACGTACTCGGGAGGGGAAAGGAGAAAGAAGAAGAAAAAAAAGAAGTTATTCGTTTAATTTTATTATTATTATTATTATTATTATTATTATTATTATTATTATTATTATTATTATTATTATTATTATTATTATTATTATTATTATTATTATCGTTTTTTTATTAATAATAATAATTATTATTATTAATAAAAGTAATCGTAGCGATTCGTAGTAATGGAAAAATCGGTTATTGCGTGATTTATTTTTAATTTAATTTTTAAAAAAAAAAAAAAAAAAAGAAAACTTTTGCTTAATGACGGTTACTACTCCATGATGAAACTTTTCTTTTTCTATAAAACTTCAATAATAAGAACTTTATAATTTTTGTTGAAGAGGAAGTTTAGAGTTTGGGTAAAGTTTTCCCGGATGTTTTTTTTTTTTTTTTGGAAAATGTTGAAAATCGAATTATTAACGCATCGCGAAAATCATTTAAATCTCGCCCATTGTTTCCGCGTTCGACTTTACACTATCGTTTCGATTATTTTAATTAGCTCGCTTTTGCTTGGGTAAAATAATTAATTGATAACAACTATTGAATTTAGATTTATTTTAATGAAAAGCAGAAGAAAAAGACGTTTTCACGAAGACGAAGTCTCAAAAGAACAACATGGCGGGGGAAAAATGCGTTTGTTACGTTGCCGCCGTCACGATTTTCATGTTTGCACAAAAACTTTATTTTATTTTATTTTTTTTTATGATTCTGCTTCTTGCCCCCCCCCCCCCTCATCCACTGTTGCCACACACGCACTGCAAAAAAAAAATAAAATAAAATAAACGGGAACTTATTTAAATTTAAGATTAAAAAAAAAAAAAAAAAAAAACAACGATTTGTTTTCGATAATGAAATGTTTTTTTTTTTTTTAAAAAAAAAAAATCTGGTTAAACCAAAGTTGCTCCATTTTGACACTATTAAAAAATATAAAAGGAGTCGTCGTAAGATTGAAAAAAAAAAACTGGGCTCGTTAAACGGGTTTTTTTTTTTTTAATATATTTTATTTTATTTCTTTTTTTTTTTTTTTTAATGTTTAACTTTTTTTTTTTTTTGTTTGTTGGCATTAATAAAATAAACGTGTTTTTCTAGTCGATCAGGTTTTTTTTTTTTTTTGTGGTACTCTTGAAATTTTTAATAAATATAAAAAGTGCGTGTGCGTGTGCGTGTGTGTATACTACTACTACTCTCTCATATGCTGCATTCGTTTATTTTTAAATTATTATTATTTGTACGCACTAAGCACTCTCTCGCTCGCACACACACACACACACACGCATAAATATTTAAATAAACATTATTATTATTATTATTATTATTATTATTTGAAGATGAGATTATATCAAAAAGTATTAAATTTTTTTCAACTTCGTCGTTAAACGAGGTAAATGTAGGAATGTGTAACATTTGATATCGTCGGTCGAAAGTGAGTCGCGAGATTTTTTTATTTAGTTTGTTAGTTATTTATTATCATTATTATTATTATTAAAATTATTGTAATTGCCACTTTCTAAACTAAATTACTAAACTGGCTCTCGAAGTGAGTCGTTTATTTTGTTGTTGTTCCCTTCATCAAGATCATGTATCATTTTCCAGGTCGGAAATTTCAATCAAAAATGTGAAATTGATTGAGCAATTTTGGCGTCGGTTATAGAATCGTGGAACGAATTTTTTTTTTTTTTTTTTCATTTTATTTTATTTTATTCTTAAGTGAAATTCTTTATTTTATTTAAGAGTGAAACCAGTGAAACAGCAAACAAACGAACAAACAAACAAACAAACAGACAAACAAACAAAATCTATGGGTCAAGATAAAAAAATAAAAAATAAATTTTTTCTTTTATTTTCTCTCTTTCTCTCTCTCTCTCTCTCTCTCTCTCTCTCTCTCTCTCTCTCTCTCTCTCTCTCTCTCTCCCCCTCTGGTTTTTTTGTTTGCCATATCATCATCGATTCCTGGACGAAAAGGTCATTTACCTTGTATTTTCCAGTCTCCAGTTTTTCAATTTTTTATTGCTATCATCTTTAACAATAAAAAAAAAGTTAAGGGAAGGGGGGGGGGAAGAACGTTTTTTTCCGTGTTTTTTTCCCTTCCTTCCTTCCTTCCTTCTCTTTTATTTTATCATTATTGAAAAAAAAAAAATAAAAGAAAGAGGATTATCAAGTCATTGACTGATTGACTGGCTGACTCACTGACTGAGCGATTGATTGATTGATTAAATTATCCAATAAAACGTTAATAATAAATATTAATACAAAAAAAAAAAAAGAAAAAGGAGAAAGAAAGAAAGAAAGAAGAAAGAAGAAAAAAAAATTGTTTTCCTTGCGAGTTTATTTTATGAAGTTGTTTTTTCTTTATCATCATTATCATCATCATTATTATTATTATTATTAGTACTATTACGGATCTTGAAAATAAGTGGCAGTTGGCAAATTGATTATGGCAATGAAAGTTTGAAATTTAAATGAGCGTGTGTGCGTGCGTGGCTTAATGCCAAAAAAAAATTAAATGGTTGGTTTTTGTATTATCTACTCCGGTGTCGATTATGAAATGTCATGAACGTGAAAAGAATTTTTCTTTTCTTTTTTTTTCCCCCACATTTTTTTTTTTTTTTTTTCATACCGAGCTATCTAAGGAGGGTAAAAGTTAATTGAATATGGAAATTGTCGATTTTCGTTGTGTGTGTACGTGTGCACGATGATGATGATGATGGTGATGATGTGTATTAAGTTTTTTTTAAAATAAAACAAAGTATATTTTTTGCGGGTTACGTACGAGTTTTAGGAGGCATTTTTGTGCGTGTGCGTGTGCGCGTGTGCGGATCGTATACTCTGATAATAATTTATTTAATTTTGCGTTGAAAACGGTAGAATGAACTCTTTCGGTAGCACATCATTATTATCGTTATTATATTTCTCGGTAGAATAAAATTGTGGTTCGTATTGTATTCCCCCCGTTTGGCAAATGCTTCGAAATAATAATAATAATAATAATGGATTTTCCCCTTTTCCCCTTCTTGCAGTTCGAATGTCCGATTCGAAATTATTGAACATGAAATTTCACCACTGAATAAAAAAATATTATTTGTATGTTGTTGTTGTTGTTGTTGTTGCGATTTGAGATTTTAAGGTGATTTGAGAGAGAAAGAGAGAGACAGAGAGATAGAGAGAGAGCGTTAATGAGGTTTTAGCACGTATTATTATTATTATTTTCATGCGATTTATCGAAAGGAATCTCTATTGCTTGCTGACGAAAAAAAAAAAAGTTTTATTTTTTATTTGTTGACCTTATTTATTATTGGGTTGTTGTTTTTGTTGTTGTTTTTGTTGTTATTTTCGTCGTTTTTACTGTCAGTTAAGATTATTTAACATTTTAAAATGTAATTTAGTGTTTACTCAAAAAAAAAAAAAAAAAAAAAAAAAAAAAAGAAAGAAAGAAAAGAAAGAAAGAAAAGAAACAAAACAGCCTTTTTATTTTTTTGAAAAAAAAAAAAATTTTCACTTTAATTTGTACGGTTAACGAATTCAGGAAATGTTTTTTTTTTCCTAAAAAAAAACTTTTTTTCTTTCTTTCTTTCTTTCTATCTATTTTCCCCCTTTTTTTTTTTTTTTTTTTTTTTTTTTTTTTTTTTTGGGTTCCCCCCCCCCCCGGGATTTACAGAAAGGGGCGAAGACCCCCCGGGAAAATTGAATTTAAAAGGTGGTGGGGGCAAACCCTGAAGACCTATTTTTAAATTTTTTTTTTCTTTTCCCACAAAAAAATTATTATTATTTGCAAGCTTGAAAAAAATTTTTTTTTTTTTTTTTTTTTGAAAAAGATTCCAAGAATTACTCTACTGTTATTATTATTATTTAAAGACCCCATAAAAATTAAATGAAGAGCAATCGCACACACGCACGCACATACGCACACGCACTCACACATACGCACACGCAAATAAAAACAACCTACGTATTTTTTTTTTTTTTTTTTTTTTTTTAATTTTAATTTGATTTTTTATTATTATTATTATTATTATTTATTATTTGCCTACATTTTTCAATTTTTTTTTTTTTTTATTTATATTTTTTTCCTCGTTCTGGGTTTTTTTTTTTTTTTTTTTTAGGCATTTAATTAGG